TGATTTCAAAATTAATTATTGATATGGTGGGTCGTAATTCCAAGTAGGCAATGTCACTTCGTCACTCACCACTAGCGGGGCCGTGTAGACATGTAGGCGTAAATCACTTTGTTACTCACTAGCGCTTTCGCCTGGTGGGCTCATGCAATCATGCGGGCGAGTTAGCACTAGCAATTAATATAACTGTGTATATGGTGATTTATGTGGTTTTGACTTGTGACGCCATGTAGGTAATGTCACTTGGTTACTCATCACGAATGAGGTCGTGTAGCCATTTCACCGTAAATCACTTCATTACTTATCTGACTCATTGTGCGGTGTGCATGTGCAAGTCCCTTGACGCTAGGCACTTGGTTACTCGTTGAGGGTGTGCTTGCGTGGCCTATAGGAAGGCATACACTACTTTGGTATTCTCTCGTACACAGGTACAGGTATGCACCTATGTGTGCTTGCATTGCTTACTTTGTTTGATGATGACTCTACATTTGGTTATCATGGGATTTCCACTTGTAGACGATTAATGCTATGTACTCTGTTGGTGTACCGGATGTGAGGTTTTAACCCAAATTGATGAAGGATCTGTTTGTATGTATGCACCCTTTAGAACCGAGAGGATCCATAAGATATGGGAACTCACTGAGATTTAGTAATCTCACCCCATGTTGATGACCATTTTTCAGGTTCATAGTCAGATCGAAGAATCACTAGAAGACTTGTCTCAAGTGCTCTCGAGATCAGCTGGCTTGGAGATCGTGCCAGATCATGTTTCCACTGTTCATTTTCCTTAAAGACATTCATGTTGAATACATTCTTCACTTCTGAGTTTCATATGTATAAGATATTATTATCTCTTCTTAGCTTATGTTTGTACTCAACACCAATTTTTAACATTACATGCAATAATATCCTAGGCAGTTATGTATGGGGTGTTACAGACTTGGGCTTTGTACGGGCCACAATTTGATTAACCAAGCCCGACTCTTCGTGGATATAGTTTTTCAGGACGACCGGATATAGTTTTTCAGGACGACCCAATTTATATTTATAATTTTATTTTTTAAAATTAAAAAGTGATTTCTTATTCTTTATAAATAGTTTCATACCTACACCATATGACATTTCACTTAAAAATACAAACTACAATACAATTACTATTACTATTTTATATCATTACCAACACACAAATAAAAATGCAAATTATGATGTTTCGCTGTCATTTTCATTTGAATTAGGACTAATAATAATAATAGCATGACATTGTTTGCCATCTAACTCTAACTCATCATTTCATATGAACTAAGAATAATAACAATATGATATTTTTTATCATCCAAAACATCATCTCAATGATAATTTGATAGAAGTAATAAGAAAAAAAACACATATTCTCAAAATATTGTGAATAGTCAAATATATATAGATACTGTAACACCCTTTTCTACCCCACGATTAATAAGACAAACTAACGTGGATTTTAGAGTAAATAAATAAATCTCATAAAAGTCACCAAAAGGGCGTACATTTCTCAAAGTCATCAAAATAGGTCAATACTCCGTAACTACGGGTTTTCCCCAAAATACATCACAACAACATAAAACAACGGAACTCAAAGCATAAATCAAGGTTTTTCCTCATAAGGGAAAGTTAGCAAAATAACTCAAAGGTATAAAGTTTAACTCAAAGAACCCAACCCGGTGTTACATATCAGAGCAAGACCCCTTAAGTTAACCAAAAAGGCTAACGACTCTAAAACTTCAAAAATAACTTCTCGACGGCGTCCACGACTAAACTGGATCATCTGCACGTTACCCATGTGGAGGTAACATTCAAACAGGCAGGGTGAGTAACACAATTCATAATAATCAATGTATAACAATTAATATATAAACGGAATCGTATTTATATTCAACACATTGATATTTCTCAAATATGCCTCGAAGGCCACAACATCATAATTCATACAAAAAGACTCAGAAATGCAATGCGACATAACTCAATGCATGTGGTACCAATCATCACAGCGTGATGGACACTGGGCCATCAACCCTCCATAGATCCTCATCAATAGGATCAATTCTACTTGAGAACTGGAGCACATCAAAATACTTCACATCCGCACAGTGGGATTGAAGCCAAAGTAATCGAGGTCCTGAACCGAAGTCCGGATGCACATGAATGCATGATGCACACTCACAAATCATCCTCATATTAACATCATAAGTGCATCATCATTCATCATATTCATCATCGTCAAACGTCATAGCTCATTAACATAGTCATCATCGTACGTCATATCATCATAACTCATCATAATAATCATCATCATCACATAAATCATCATATCTCATGTTATCACATAATTCATCATAATCATCATCATACATCATAGAAATCATCGTTTAATCATATACAAATCACATAGTGCTCACAGTCATACTCATATCAGTTTATCATATTATCACATATTAATTCATAATTATACTCGCGATAATCCTCATACTATCGCCTATTCATCACATAAACTTCACATTCCCACTCATGCTAATTCATCACAGAAATCACAGAATCAAACATCAAGGCATCGCTGCACACGATCAACATTCACGAAACTCTACTATGTTCGCTGACATGTTCGCTAGTTGAGTATGGGGCGAGTTTCTTCGCTAGGCGAAGCTGGGAACGACATGGTTCGCTAGGCGAAGCTTTCTTCGCTTGGCGAACTGTGTGATGACAGCAAAATCTGCTACGCACCAGAACTGATTTTTACCCAAATACTCATATGATTCACTTACCCAATGCCCCCAAAACATCCCTAAATCATCCCTAAGGTCATACGGCGATAAAGGCACAAAACCTACGGTTTATTAGGCCAATCCCGTAACATATTCATGTCCTAAATCATAATTTTCCCTACAATTGCCCTAAAGGCATCATAATTTCTCATATCAAATATTCCTATCCCTTATGGTCGGACATATAATAATCTAAGGTTTTTGGCCACAAAGGCCTAAGGTTTCCTAATTCTCGTATTAAATATTCAGTGATACTTACCACTAACAAAACCTTCAGGGTTCACCATCAATTTCCCTAATTCCCCACCATCAACCCAAAATCCCTTAAATCTTAAATCAACCATAAACATATCGAAAGGCATACATGGAAAATCATGAAAAACTATACTCCCCATACCTTAGCCGATTCAAAGCGATTATCTCCGAGAATCTTCTGCCTCCAACCTTTCCTTCAGAGATTTGACCACCAAACTTTTCACGGTTAACACAAATGAATTCTAATTTTCCTTCAGAACTCTATTTTCTCCAACCTAGTCTTGGCCCTCCCAATTTGGGTTTTTCCCATAATATCCTTACTAACTCCTATTAATGCCCAATTTACCCTTATTTCACTTATATTCATTTTAATCAATAATAATACTAATATTCTTATATAACATACTATTAATTAAATAAATAATCCACATGTGCACAATTTTCCAATAATCCACAAAATCACCGAAAACCACCAAAATACGAATATTTTCAATTAAATAAATAAATTAAAATATTTCAATTAAATTTGGAGTGTTACATATATAAATAAAAATTAGTTATTAAATTTTAATTTGAGTATTAACTACATAACTATTTATTATATTTGTACATGGTCAAAGATTAATTTCTTTCATAAAAGCATATTCTTATTTGACATGTCACAAAGTGAACATTCTCATTCATAAAAAAGTCCTTGATGTTGTTTTCTTTGTTGTCATTAAAAAAATCTTGATTACTAATAATATCAGTCAATACTATTGGTTAATTATTAATTAAATGTCTCATTAACTCTTCATCTCAACATTTTCTTCTTCTTTATTCTCATATATTTTCTTATCTTATTGTTAATATTATACAATAAAGTTTTATTTACACGTCCAATCTCAATTAATTTTTCCGTTAGATTTTAACTTTTCAGTTTCTCTTTTATATATACTAAATTAACTTTTGCACCATAGAAAATAAATTAATTCAACCACCTTATCACTAATTCTTAAAATAAATTATTCCTTCTAGTGACCAAATATAATTTTATATTAATACACCACTTTTAAAATAACAATATATATCAAATAAGAAATTTAAAATGATTCTCTCAAGATTTTTCTTCCATTTTTTTTTCAAATTTCAAATCTCAACTATTAAATCCAAATAACACCAAATAAAAAAAACGAAAAAAACAAAAAACAAAAAACCTTAGAAAATTGAATATTTTCACATGGACCCCACAATGGCAGGGATAGCGGTGGAATTTGGACAAAAGAAATTCCTAAAACAATTCAAAATCTATTAACGCCAAAAAAAATTGAATCCTTAAAACCTAAAATTCACATTCAAACGTTGCCATATACTCACTTTCTTCTACACTCTACCACTCCACAGCTCAATTTCTACCTTCAATTCTTCATTCCAAATCATAAAGGTACTACCTTTTTTCAATTTCGTTATTATTATTATGCCATGATTACATTATTAGGGTTTTGTATTCTTTTTGTTTTCCATTGTTGTTAATAAAAGAAAAATCCTTTTTTATTTTATTTTATTTTTATTTTTAATTTTTACCTACTGGGTTGTGAATTTTCAGAAGAAAATATTGTTTTTTTATTATTAGATTTATTGGGTTTTCAGGTAGTGAAGTTTTTGATTCAGCTCTGAGTTTTTTGATCTACACATTTGAAAGATTAATCTTTTACTTTGTTTTTGTTAAAGAAAGACATTTTAAAGATTAGTGGTTTTGTTGATTTTTTGTTTTGAAAAGCTTTGAGCTTTAGGGAAAAACTTAGGTCAATTTTTTATATGAAATTGAGGAAGAATGTAATGGGGTTATGAATTTTTGTTTTATAGAATTTCTGATGTGAAATGAGGTAAATTTTTGTGTGACTGTTTATGTCTTATCGGATTTTATTTTGTTGCTGTTACTTATGGTGGTTGTTTTTCGGTTTCAGTTCATCAATGGGGAGGAATTTGAGTCCTGTGCTGCAAAGAGAGCTTGAAAATCTTGACAAAGACGCTGATAGTCGCAAATCGGCAATGAGAGCATTGAAGTCATATGTGAAAGATTTGGACTTTAGGACAATTCCTATCTTTCTAGCTCAAGTGTCTGAGACAAAGGAAACTGGTACTTTATCTGGAGAATTCACGATATCGTTGTACGAAGTTCTTGCTAGGGTTCATGGTGTCAAAATTGTTCCAATGATTGAGAGTATCATGCAATCCATAATTCAGACTTTAGCTTCAAGTGCAGGATCTTTCCCTCTCCAACAAGCTTGTTCCAAGGTTGTTCCAGCTGTAGCGAGATATGGAATCGACCCTACAATGCCAGAAGATAAGAAGAAGAATATAATTCGTTCTATTTGTAAGCCGCTTTCTGATTCGCTCATGAGTTCTCAGGAGAGTTTGAGCTGCGGCTCAGCTCTTTGTTTGAAAGCACTTGTTGATTCTGATAATTGGCGGTATGCTTCTCATGAAATGGTTAATAACGTTTGCCAAAATGTTGCGGCGGCGTTGGATGGAAAGTCTACTCAGACTAATTCACATATGGGTTTGGTTATGTCGTTAGCCAAACGCAACTCTCTGATTGTTGAAGCATATGCCCGGCTGCTCATAAATTCCGGACTTCAAATACTACATGTTGGTGGAGAGCTTTCTGATGGGAATTCTCAGAAGCGGTTCGCAGCTATTCAAATGGTGAACTACTTGATGAAGTGTTTGGATCCGAGGAGTATTTTCTCGGAAGTCGAACAAGTAATCGAGGAGATGGAGCAGTGCCAATTCGACAAAATGGCATTCATCAAAGGTGCTGCACTTGAAGCCCTGCAAACAGCCAAGAAAGTTGCAACCGATAAAAAATTGAGATGTATGAAGAGTCCTGCATCCGTGACGGGTTCAAATTCAAATTTGAGTAGAAGAGACTATATGGAAGGAGATAGTTCTTTGGGTGACGGAGACCTTACTCCGGCATCTAATTCACCTGAGTCACGTACACTTGACTTTTTCCCTGGACACGAATCCCTTACCGAGTCTCCCATTTCGACTTTCCAGTCTTCTCATAATCTGAACTATTTGCGAAGGAGTGTCAATAGGAAGCTTTGGAGCCGTGAAAATGGAGGAGTTGACGTGTCTCTCAAGGATGGTTTGTTCTCATCGAATGCAGACGAGGGAAATGGCTTCTTCGATAACACAACGGATCACAAGTTTTTCAATGGAAATGGAGATTTAACTGAAGAATTTGCTGGTTTTGTCCAAGGAATATCCAGAAGTACCAACTCGAGTCCCCTCGTAAGTGTGACATTCTTTACCCGATGGTTTTCTACGCTGCCTCAATTTTATGTTTCCTGCTAATGAATTGCTTATGCATAACCACTACTGTACATATTAAACTTTATCATTTACTCGTTTTAATTTACGGCTTACATTTACATATCATTACTCTTTTACAAACATGCATAAACCTGAATGCGCTATTACTTATCGCAAGTTTTCCTAAGCATAAATCAGTTCTGGCTTCAAATTAGTGTTCCTTTTTAACAATTGAAACTTGATGTATCCTTTACTCAGAGATCACGCAGTCAGGTCATTGAAGGGATTCAAATTTTCGACACTCCAAAGAGGCTCATTCGTTCGCTTCAAGACCCAACTGATGATAGTTCCGATTGCTCTGAAAAACCGATTAGGCTGTACAAGAGTCTATCCTCAGGAAATATTATTTTGACTCCATTGTCTTATTCCAAGTATGACCATAACGGTATTGCTCATTGTGTCAAATATGATAATAGCAACGAGAACAGAAGCTCATGTGGCGATGACATGCAGTATCAAGACGAACAAGAGTCGGTCTCATCAACAGATGACATTCTTGGTAATTCTGATACGCAGAAGCATTCTTTAAAGGTTCATGAGAATAGAATAGTTCCACAAACTCTTGCTGTGGAGAAGCCACTTCAAAAGAAGAAGCACAAATTCTTCTGTGGACTGTCTTTCCTCATTGTTGCAATGGCTACACCTCTAATCTGGATCAACAGTCAGGAAGAAGCACATTTCCTTGTCCCTACATAAATGTGTTTGTTCATTCTAGTGTACAATTTGAGAATCTAGAGAATTATGAAAGTAGTTGGTTAATTCCAACCAAATGTTGGGAACTTCAGTGTAGAAAAAGAGGATCAGTTTTAGCACTTTGAATATGGTTTAATTTTCTTTGTAAGATTCTGTAATAACTTTTGACTGAATTTTAGCTTTTGTTGGAGTTTAAACACAAATGCTGTGTTTGGAATTAACGAATCATTTCATTACATTCAGCAAAGTAGATATAGCAAAAGTTTTTATAAACTAAGCCAGATATGAAATACAAACTGTTTAATCTCTTGAGCTATTCAAAAAACACAAGGTTGAGCTATTCAATAAACACAAGGGTGGTTAAGATCGAGTACTGGTCACCATTGATTGATAACGAATGAAAGGTGAAGTTTAACAACATTAAGTTGACGCCAATGAAGATTTAAGAGTTATATGGAACACATTTCATCAATACAAAATATAATGTCCAATCGAGATGAATGTGGCATTTGCGTGATTTGTAGATGATATTATCAAGATGTTGAAACGTCTTGAATCATTTAGTAATGTTTAAGTTATGTTTGTGGTATTTTCATGTTAAATTATGTTAAGCAATATTATGTCAAGTTATGTTCATCTTCCAGTAATGTAATGCTAATTTTTATCTAATGCAATATGTATTATCTGTGATAACCCGACATAGACCTCACTATCTGGATTTACCAAACCCATGAGATTATTATAGAAAAAGTGTTATAATATGTAGTCGTTGCTAACTAATCATACTAGGTGGAGCAATGACACATCATTTGAATGTCCTCCATCATGTGAGGGTCCAACATTATCCACAGGTTAGACTGATGAGATGATTTGAGGGTGTGATACTCTAAATTACCACTTTAAATAACCATTCAGAAACTGCCTAGGAAAAGAAATCCCTAGTAAATTTTCTCGAATAGTAATGACAATGCTGACAATGTTAGACCGAAACCATCTATCAATGCCCATGCTCACAGATAACACAATAGGAGATAGTATAAGAATGCTCTGAGCATACCAAAACATACACAAACACTTCTCAGATAAATATCTAGCCACTACATTCTCCCATCGCATATAGCCCAAAAAAGGGCAATGTCATCGAACTCCGTGATGCACTATAGGGTTTGCATCTGATGTCCATATGACATCTTCGACGATCAGAGCATCGATCCTCCGCCTGTATTCCAGAAGACCGCCTGAATGAGAATTTCCGAACCACCATCTGTTGGCCTCTCGGAAGCCATCAGTGATAGGACCACGATCACGCCTCTCATAAATGACAGAAAATGTTCGTGAATTCAACACTTTAGAATAAACACAAATCACATATATGAAATGTCTTTGATAAATAAGAAGAAGATAATAAAACATAATAAATATTCTTACTTGAAATAAACTCATATAACTGGCAAGTTGCCTCATCTCAAAGGCAAACACCTTTCTAAGGGCAATAGATAATATCACCAAAGCAACACAATCCCATGTCTAACCGAGATACTTAAAATCGAAAAACATGGATATGTATCTTGCAATGATGTATACATGATACTTATCCACTAAGATAATATATTCTACCATATGCAACATGTATACCCTAGCGACCGACTCATACATAAAGTGTCTCCTCTGTGATTGATAAATATCCCAGAGCCAAGAAAGAAAAAAAATGAACATCCCTATTATCCATGAACTCCTCCAATACCATCCTCGTGTAACATTCATGTTGTGAATAGAATGCCTTGAAACAAAATATAAATGGCTTCTCTATATCAAAGAAACGCACAAGGGTTAGGGTTAACAAAGAAAACAAGCAAGAAGAACAAGAAGAAACAACAAGGATTGGTTATAAATTGTTATTCTTTCCTTTATCTATCAAATAAGATTACAAGTATACAATAATAACAAATAACTTCTCTCTCGCGAATTAGGATTTTATCTTCCTATGTTTCCTTATACAAGATGAGTGACTAGAATGCTATTTATAAGAAAACTAACACACTAATCTAATGAATTTTTTAACAATTACTCATTACAAGCTAACTTAGGGTACAAGCTAACTTAAACAATTGGGCTTAAAAGCAAGATCCAATTCAACATGCTAACAAACCTAGCAATATTGACTAATACATGTTAGAACAAACTTCGACTACAACATGCATTACTCGCGAACAGACTTTGACCATACTAGAGTTCGGGCCAATATCTCACAAATCTCCACCTTAGATCTAACTCTATAAAATCAAGAAACTAGCTTTCTTCATGCAACTTTATCAACTGCATACAATCGTAAAACTTGCAACTAGGCAGCATCTTGGTGACCATATCAGCAGCATTATGATCAGTCGAAACCTTCAGCAGTTGGACTTCTCCACGCTCGATTACCCCTCTGACGAAATGCAGCCTCACATAAATGTGCTTGGTTCGCTCATGATAGGTTGAATTCTTCGACAAGTGTGTTTCACTTTGAATATCACATTTAACAGTGATAACTCAACCTTGAAGTTTCAGCTCCTTTGCAAAACCTTCAAGCCACAATGCTTCCTTCGTAGCTTCAGTTAGAGAGATATATTCCGCTTCAATGGTAGATAAGGCAACAACCTTCTGAAGTGTTGCTTTCCAATTGATTGTTGTCCCAAACATAGTGAACATATATCCAGAAATAGGTTTTCTAGAATCCATACAACCTGCATAACAGAGTCGACATATCCTTCAATTGTTGCTTTACTATCTTCACCCAAGGCTCCACCATAAATTAGGACTTTATTCAGAGAATCACCTTAGAATCCACTTCAATGCTTGCCAGTGAGCCTTTCCAGGATTCGCCATGTATCTTCTTATAAGACTTACTGTATATCCTATGTTGGGTCCTGTACAGACAATAACATACATCACATAACCCAATATATTAGCATATGGAATGTTATTCATATAAGTTCTTTCGACATTAGTAGTGGGACATTGATCTATACTCAGCTTAAATTAAGGGTTTGTCGGAGTCACATTAGGCTTTGAATTCGACATACCAAACTTTTTGAGAATCTTCCGCAGGTATGCCTCTTGAGATAAGCATAATTTCGACTGCGTTCTATCTCTTCGGATGTCAATCCCAAGAATCCTGGACGCAACTCCCAGATCCTTCATGTCAAACTTCTTATTGAGTTTATCCTTCACCCTCATTACATCTTCGATATTGTTGTTTGCTATTAGAATATCATCCACATAAAGCAATAAAATAACAAATGAATTACCAGATCGAAATCTGAAGTAAATACAATGGTCGAACTGACTTCTAATGAAACTTATACGTGCCATGAACTTTTCGAATCTCATATTCCACTGCCGAGGAGATTGTTTCAGTCCATATAAAGATCTATTCAGTTTGCACACATGATTTTCCTTCCCTTTTTATAAATACCCTTCAGGTTGGCTCATAAGGATTTTTTTTCATCTAGATCACCATACAAGAAAGCAGTCTTTACATCCATCTGTTCCATTTCAAGATTGAATTGTGCCAATGTGGCAAGTAACATTTGAACGAATCTGTGCTTCACAACATGAGAGAACACATCATTGAAGTCGACACCTTCTTTTTGAGTGAACCCTCTAGCAATCAATCTTGCCTTGTATATCTTCAACGCCACTCCTTTAATTCCTTCCTTAACTTTGAAAATCTATTTACAGCTGACTAACCTGGCTTCAGCAGGTTTCTTGATCAATTCTCAGGTATTGTTATTATGAAGAGATTTCATCTCATCATCCATTGCCTTCAGCCATTCAGTCTTCTTTCAGCTCCTCATAACTTCCTTATAGTCTCTAGGTTTTTCGTCTAGAATCTCACTTGTAGAGGTTAAGGCATAAGCTATAAGATTTGCAAACCCAAGTCTCTGAGGTGGTTTGATGACTCTCCTCGACCTGTCTCTTACTAGCAGGTAATCATTATCAGTTTCCTAATCTTTGACAACAACTTCTGCTTCTTCTTTGACTTCATCTGGGATACGCAATTCAACATCAACATGCTCTACCTCAACAAAAATCTCTCTCTGTTCTAGCTCTTCGTCAGCATCATCAGTTTTCTTGAAAGTCGTCTCTGCTTCATTGAAAACTACATCTCGAGTGATGATACACCTCCTGTGACCTGGCTCTAGGCACCATAACCTATAAGCTTTGACTCCTTCAGGGTATCCCATGAACATTCATTACAAAGCTCTAGGTTCAACTTTGTCTTGCCTAATATGAGCATAGGCCACGCAACCAAATACTTTCAGTCTGTCGAGACTAGGTGGATATTCTGGCCAAACTTCTTCAAGTGTATTCATTTCTAAGGCAGACAAGGGACAACTATTTATCAGATAAGCTGTTGTCGAAACAGCCTCCGCCTAAAACACCTTCTTCAATCCAACGCTAACCAACATGCATCTAACCCTTTCAAAGATTGTTCGATTGAATCTCTCAGCTATGCCATTTTATTAAGGAGGACCTGCTACAGTCTTATGACTTGCAATCCCAGACTCAACACAACAACTGTCGAACGCTTCGTTGCAGAACTCAAGGCCATTCTCGGTTCTCAACCTCTTAACCTTTCTTCCAGTTTGAATTTCGACTAGAACCTTCCAACTTTTGAAAATCTCAAAAGTTTCATCCTTCGTCTTCTGGATGAATACCCATAGCTTTCTGGAATAGTCATCAACGATGGATAGAAAATACCTCGCACCTAAGTGTGAAGGATTCCTTGCAGGTCCCCAAAGATTAACATGAATGTAATCCAGGGATCCGTGTGTTCTTTGCTTGCCTTTGTTAAACTTCTCCCTACAGGATTTACCAAATACACAAGATGCACAAAACTCCAATTTTTTGACTTTGTCACTTCCTAGCAGGTTCTACTTCCCCAATTTGACCAGGCCTCTTTCGCTAACATGGCTCAATCTCATGTGCGATAATTCTGTCTTCGACATAAGTTTTGT